TATTAGTTCGACATCAAAAATATCTAAAATTTATATAAAACGAAACCAAACAAATAACAATAGTTTTGGTTATCATCGAAAAAAATCAAAAACATCAAACATTTACACCAAACAAACCAAAATAAATATAGATTTAGAATGATAGTTATAATTTAGGAGATTAAAAAAACGTCAAAACTAAACTAATATTCATGCTAAAAAGACATAATATCATTTTATCATAAAAGTAACAAAAGTAATAATCTCATTCCGCGCAAGGCGCGGGTTATTACCTAGTATTAATTAATAGAGGTTCTAAATTCATGCAGACAGAATAATAACTGACCCCTATCTTACCAAGGTCTAAATTCATACAGCACAAACACACACCTTCAAAAGCATTACTGGCGTTCAATCTGAATGGTGACGTGACTGATGTTGTATTCAGTCTTGATGTAGTCAATTACCTTGTCCAGAACCACATCTCCATCCGCCTCTGGTCTGACCTTCACATGATACACCAATGTAATTTTATCAGGAGTGATGGCCCAAATGTGCAGCTCATGGACGTCCACTACTTCTTCCATCTCGCATACTCCCTTTTCAAGCTTGTCTGCGTCTATCTCTTGTGGGGTTGACTCAATGATCTTCCACTCAGGTTTGTACCAAATCACTGCCCCTCCTAGCATAACCCCCACGCTCTGGATTAAATCTCCCAAAACATGAAGATAAGCTCCTTCCAAGTTTAGGTTCCGCTTCTTCTCACTTCTAGTGCCATTTTCCTCGAGCAAGGGTTCAGATAGTTGTGGATGGTGGTGGTGATCGTGTTGATTTTCATGGTCATGGCCATGACCGTGACTGTGACCACCGTTGCTGTGACCACCGTGGCTGTGACCACCGTGGTTGTGCCCTAACAGAAAAGCCATTGCAAGGTTCACCATGAGACCAAATGCAGAGACACCAAACATAAGAGAGCCCTGAACTTCCCCACCGCCGTTGTGAAGTCTTGCGATTGCTTCATATTCTAAGAATCCAGCAAGAAGCCAAATCATCTGGACCGATACAAGGGCACAAAGGACCTCGATTCTGAAAAATCCATAAGACTTGCGTGGGGTTGCCTCCCATCCTGAAGCCCAAAGTGAGAACAAGGAAATTCCAAACGCTGTTACATCCGAGAAAAGATGAGCAGCATCTGTGAGAATCGCTAGGCTGTTGGCCTTAATGCCTCCGATCACTTCAACGACGATAAAGAGACTACATAGTGAAATAACTTGTAATAGAAGGAAGAAAATTTGTTATTGATCTCGTTAGGCAAAGGCCTGTATTTATACATCACGAGAATCCTATATCGATAAGGATAAGGCCTAGTTACATCATTATCTTAAGTCTAAGTAGAAGTTATCCTAAAATATATAGTAGTTATCTCATTACTCCCCCTCAAGTTGGAAGTGTGAGATTTCGAATACCCAACTTGGACAAGAGATCTTCAAATAACGGTCGAGGCAAAGCTTTAGTAAGGATGTCAGCAAGCTGGTTCTTAAAAGAGACATGTGTAGTATAAACGAGCTTAAACTTCAGTGCATCACGAACATGGTGACAATCTCGTTCTATATGTTTGGTACGTTCTATATGTTTGGTACGAGCATGAAACACTGGATTAGTGGCTATGTAGATTGCAGATTTGCTATCACAAAGTAGCTCCATTGGTGTTAGATGCGGAACACCAAAAGATTCAAGTAGACCTTTCACTCACTTGAGTTCTTTGACAGTTTCAGACATGGCACGGTACTCTGCCTCAGCAGAAGATAGTGAGACATAATCTTGCTTCTTCGTGCGCCATAGAACCGGAGAATCACCAAGGAAGATGATAAATGCACTCAACGACCGGCGAGAAAGAGGACATGAGCCCCAGTCTGAATCACAATACGCCCGTATCCGAAGAGAGTCATTTGCTTTCAAAAATATGCCTTGGCCAGGGCATCCTTTAAGATATTTAACGACTCGTATAGCAGCATCCCAGTGTGGGAGTAAAGGTTTCTGCATAAACTGAGCAAGTATATGAACAATGTATCCTAGTTCTGGTCTTGTGTTAGTCAGATAAATCAAACGACCAACAAGCCGTCGGTACTGGTGTGCATTAGCAAGCGGACCTTCTGCTTTTGCTAGTTGATGATTAAGTTCAACGGGTACTGGAGATGGTTTGGTGCCAAGAAGTCCTGCTTCTGCTATTATGTCAAGCGCATATTTCCTCTGAGACATGCAGATACCAGAGGCATTGCGTGAAACTTCAAACCCAAGAAAGTATTTTAAAGTACCAAGATCTTTCATTCGAAAGCAACGATGTAAATAATCTTTGAACTCTTGTAGGGCCGTAGTATCGTTGCAGGCGATGATAAAGTCGTCAACATAGATCAATATATGAATACAGACAGAACCACGGACCTTGGAGAAGAGAGAGTGGTCGGCATAGTCATGAGAAAAACAAACGCAGTAAGAGCTGTCGTGAGCTTCGCATACCAACATCGCGGAGCTTGGCGCAGACCATACAAATATTTCTTTAGGCGACAGACTTTAGTAGGATCTGAGCAGCGATACCCTTGTGGAAGTTTCATATAAATTTCTTCTTCAAGATCACTGTGCAAGAAGGCATTATGGACATCCATTTCGTGAACATACCAGTTAAGTGCTGCTGCCAATTTCAGAATAAAATGCACAGAGGCAAGCTTTGCAACTGGGGCAAAGGTTTCATTGAAATCTTCTCCCTCTGTTTGATGATTTCCCAAGACAACAAGACGTGCCTTAGGTCGTTCAAGAGTACCATCTGCATTATATTTGTTGGTGTAAAGCCACTGATTGCTAAGAGCCTTCTTCCCGGGAGGCAGAGTTGTTATATCCCATGTATTTGCAGCTTCGAATGCATCAACTTCTTTTCCCATTGCGTCACGCCAGATTTTCAGTTTAACAGCCTCTTCGAAGGATCGAGGAGGATCATCCGCAATGATATTGGCCATAAAGATACGATGCTTCTCTGAAAATATTGGTCAGAAACATAGCTAGATATGGGATAAGGAGTTGTACCTAAGGACATTCGACGAGGACCTAGATCAGGCGAGATGAGATCATGAGAGGGGTCATTACTAGTAGGAGCCTGAGCTGAGTGTGTGATGTAGTCTTTAAGCAATATTGATGGAGTTTTCTGTCGATGTCCTTTTCCTAGAACTTCTGGAATACCTTGCGAAGATGGTTCTGCAGGTGGAGAAGCATGAACAGACGAAGGTGAAGGAGGTGGAACAGTGGTTATAGTGGTAGTAGATGGTACTGGTAATTCTGAGGTTTTGGTCATAGTTGTGGTCATAGTTGTGGTCATAGTTGTATCTGTAACAGGGGTAGTGTCGATAGTTGATGGTATAGTAGGGTTCGTAGACGAAGTAGGTATAGTAGAATCTGCAGTTGGTGTAGGTGGTTGTTGAGGTGAAGGATCTTCCGTTGGTGTAGGAGGTTGGGGAGGTGAAGGTTGTGAGCTCCCCCTTAATGGTAGGTTCGGTTGTAGCCAGTCATCAACGAAGATATCATAGGTGTTAGAAGGTGGAGTAACGTACTCATCAGTGTCAACTCCTGGAAACTTTGATTCAGAGAATGCAACATCTTTACTTGTAAAGAATTCTTTTGCCCTCTAAATCATAGAGAGACCACGCTTTCTTGCCATACGGGTAACCTACAAATATGCATCGTCGACTGCGATCTCCAAATTTATCTTTATTGCGTGCTTTACGGTGAGCATAACATAAGCAGCCAAATACTCTTAACTGATCAAAGTCTGGTTTCTTTCCGAACAAAAGTTCATACTGTGTTTTGCCATAAAGAAGTTGAGATGGGGTATGGTTGATTAGATGCACGGCGGTGAGGATGCTTTCTCCCCAAAAGGTAGATGGTAAGCGAGCCTGAAACAGACACGCACGGGCTACGTTGAGGAGATGGCGGTGTTTTCTTTCCACCCGTCCATTCTGTTGTGGCGTGTCTACGCATGAGGTTTGGTGAATGATACCATTTTGTTTAAAGTAACTAGACAGAACCATAAATTCAGAGCCATTGTCTGTCCGAATCTGCTTGACTGATCTATCAAACTGCTTCTCACAAAGTGCAAAGAAATTCTTAAGTAAACCCGACACTTCTGATTTTTCTAACATCAAATAGGTCCAGACAGCACGAGAATAGTCGTCGACAATAGTAAGAAAATATCTGGCTCCGCATGAAGAAGGGTTTCGATATGGCCCCCATACGTCACAATGGATTAAAACAAAAGGTGCCGAAGCTTTATTGAAACTATCAGGAAAACTAGAACGAGTTTGCTTAGTCTTAAAACAAATCTCACAGGCGTTTGCTTGTTCAGAATCAAAAACCAGATTTTCCAAAACAGGTAAAGAAGATAACACACGAAAAGATGGGTGCTCAAGCCTCCTATGCCATAGTTCTGATGTAGAAGCATTCTTATAATCAGTCCGATGAACACGTGCAGCTTTAACTCCCGTAAAGTAATAGACCCCCTCACGTTCCTCACCCGTTCCAATCAGGGTCTTCATAAAACGGTCCTGCAAGACACAAAGTGTATCAGTAAAGATAGCTATACATCCTGTCTACTTTAGTAAACGAGAGACAGAAATCAAGGTGCAGTTAATCTCGGGAACATGTAAGACGTCTCGCAAGAAATAGTCCCGACTGAGCACAAGTGTGCCTTTCTTAGTAGCACTAGACGCACGACCATCAGGGAATTTGACTGATGATGGCATAATGTCAGTAACATCGCTCAAAAGAGCGAAGTTCCCTGTCATATGGTGAGAAGCGCATGTATCAATAATGACATCATGAAACTTTGGTTTACCCGACAATCTTGCAGTAGCAATGTTAGGTGATCGGGATGTTTGAAGAAGCTGGAGAAGCTGAGTTATCTGGTCGTTACTGAGAGAGGATTGTGCTGGTGCAGCAGTGGTATTGTTGGACATGACTCTGTTTGAGTTAGATCGTCCTCGCCCTCTATTTGTCGAACTGGAAGTACGACCACCACGGCCACCACCACGTTGACTAGATCCTCCATTGTTCGGCTTTTGAAGCTCATACCACCACTCTGGGTAACCATGAAGAAGAAAACATTCAGTATTATCATGTCCTTTGCGAGAGCAATGAGAACACATCCGGTTTGGATCACGGAATTTTGTAATAGTAGTCTGAGATTGATGCGGATTGAGAATCATTGTTAGATGATGTAGTCTGAACCGAGAATCCTATAGCCTCTGTTTTAAGATCTGTTGAACGTGTGGTATTGGTATGTTGCTCCTCACGAATAACTCTTGAGTAAACGTTGTTGATGTCAGGTAAGGGATCTTCATCAATGATCTGTGATCGAATGGTGCAGAAGCGGGATTCATCAAGGCCAAAAAGAAATTTATGAACTCAAATCTCTTCTCTTTCTTTCTCAATATCGGACGCAGCCTCACATAAGCATGCTCGAGTGGTTTTGAGATTGTCTAGTTCCTCCCAAAGCTTAGTGAGACGCCCATAGTAGTCAAGAACCGTCTGGCCATTCTGTTTGCAATTGTTGATAGCATCCCGGATTTGATGCGTTCTGACTCCATTCGTAACAGAGAATCGTCGCTTGAGATTTTCCCAAAGTTTATGAGCTTCAGGAACAAAGGAGACTGTAGATCTTGTTTTGGGGTCGATAGCCGTACGTATCCATCCTACCAGCATCGAATTAGTAGCTAGCCACCGAGAAAGATCAGGTTCTGTAGTTGGTTTTTCAAGAGTTCCATTGAGAAACCCTAATTTCTGCTTTGCTTGTATAGAGTTAGATAGCTCGGTTGCCCATTCGGTATAGTTATCACCATTGAGTAGAACAGATGTAATAAGCGCTCCTGGATGGTCTGATGGATGTAAGTAGTATGGAGACACATTAGTAAGAGGTAAAGTAGTTGCAGCCGGAGTAATCTTCGCCATGTTTCTTAAAGGTCAAAAAACATGATTAAAAAATTTCAGATCTTTTGCTCTGATACCATGAAATAACTTGTAATAGAAGGAATAGAGTTTGTTATTGATCTTGTTAGGCAAAGGCCTGTATTTATACATCACAAGAATCCTATATTGATAAGGATAAGTATAGGATAAGGCCTAGTTACATCATTATCTTAAGTCTAAGTAGAAGTTATCCTAAGATATATCTATACTATTATTTGCGAAGTGATTTTTCGCAACGGAGCTCTCACGTTAAAAGTTGGAGTGGTTAATATCGTTTATACCCTTAATGAATAAAATATATAAATTAGACATAAAATAAAACAAAATTGATATTTATTTAATTAGATAAATGATTTAAATTAATAATA